TTCACCCTGGACAACGTATATTCATACGGCAAAAAAGTTCACTAACCGGCAGTTGACTTCTCACTTTAAACTACCATGACCGACTGTATGTCATATTCGACTACCTCACTGTACTCACCTCACCTTTTTTCTACCTTTGTGTCTGTCTCTTTTACATCTTCGAAACACTCTTCTGTCCCCCTCCCTCTCGACTTTTTTCACTTTGATGTTCCTCCTCCCCTCTGTGAAGCCTGAAGTCAACTAAAGGGCTAATGATAACATCCAAAATGCCTGTTATTCGATATAAGTAAATAAATTCTATTCTTAAACTGAGAGAAATAAAGAATGGAACTTCTTTGCCACGTTGGCGATAAAAGTTGGCATTCAGAATGATATTTTCCTTGTTGTGATTTACAGGTGACGTAAATGCCAACCGGCAATCTGAATACCACACATCGCGTTTTTTCTTATAAGTGGTATTTGTTCTGCGTAGTAAATAGTAATGAAAATGCGCAGTGTGTAAAAATTGTCAAAAATCAGGACACAAATGAGGAGACAAATAAAAATTTCTTCTTTGTTGTGAAAGAAATGAGAGAAGTTACCTCCACGCTACTAATGGTACAGTGTACTTTCAAAATAGTTTATTACTTCAAACAAAAAATGATTTTTGAATCCTCGTTCTGGAGAGAAATTTGTATTAAGATTTCGCTTCCACCAAAACCACACGATATATCAAGTACACGTTTTTTTACGATAGTAAATCAGACTGAAAATCAGATTGTGCTTTTCCGTCCAAAGCCTGTTTGAGAAAAGTCAGATAATTACACATTATTTTCCAAACATTCTTATCAAATGCAAACATCCGTCTTAATAGTCTGGAAAAGAATAGAAATAATCCTCGTAAAAAGCATTGTTTGCTAACACACTTGAATAATAGTCGGAGCAGTAATCAGAAGGAGGAATCGGAGAACTTCAATAGGGCCAATTTGAGGACCGTTCTAGGGGATGGAATTCCTATTTTTGCTACCTTACCAATGGGTCATATAATTTTGCGAACATGACAATAAGTTATATAAAAATCGATATACCCCACGCGATAACAGGTTGGACCAATTTGATTAAGCAACTTGCTCTATTCCGTTTCCATATTTGAACAGTGCCAAAAAAATTAAATGTCGAATTAAAGAAAAGCACAAAATGTTGCTTACCCTCGTTTTGGCCGTAATGCTGGCTCCAGCATTGAGTAGAATCTGGACAACATTCGTGTGTCCAGATCGAGCAGCAGTGTGCATGGGTGTCAAACCGTCTCGTGTTCGTGCGTCCAATTGAGCGCCTTTATCGATCAGGAGTTGGGCCATTTCCGCTTTACCCCATTTAGCAGCAAGATGAAGTGGCGTTATGCTGTCCTGAAAAGCAAATAAAATGCAAACGATTCGATTGTGCTAGAAATGTTTGCCTTACAAGCCATTAAACTGTGGAAATTGATATTCCAGTAACTGGGGTGCGCGATAGACTTACCTCCACGTGGTGCATCCTGGGCAACGTATACTCATACGGCAAAAAAGTCTATTAACTGGCGGTTGACTTCTGACTTCAAACTACCATGACCCCATTGTATGCCATATTCGACCACTTCCACAGTACTCTCCTCACCTTTTCTCTGCCTTTGTGCCCATCTGTCTCTTTTTCATCTGTGAATTACCCTTCCGTTCGCCATATCTACTTTTTCTCACTTTAATGTTCCTCCCCTCTGTGAAACCCGAAGTCAGCTAATG